AAAAAAACCTTTAACAGCTTTATTGTTGTTTGGGTTTCTAGGTCAAAAAATGACAGTGGGCATGCACAAAATATGCGGCTTTGTCATTATTTCAAAGGGGTTTTGTGTTTCCTGTTCCTGGGCAGAGTTTTTTTTTTTTATTATTTTAATCAATGTTTCTTACTTAATTCTTTATTTATAGGAGGTGCAAACAGCAGAAAACATATTTTAAAAAGTATTCTGAGTATTTCGGTTGATGGCCTATTCTAAAACTAGGTGGAAGTTAGATGGTTATTTTATGATTTCAGTATATTTATTGGTGGCACCAATGCATCGAATAAAAGCTCTACGTGTCCTTAAAGATCCACTAGAACTGTTAGGTGCTACACCACCCACAGCTATGGTGCCATCTGATTGGGCTAAAAGACCTAACAAACAAATACACACTACAATGTTCTCCTGTTCTTTTAATCATGGCAGAACAAAAAAATGTGTTTAATGGGGGAAAAAAAAGACTCGGGTAAAGATAATGGAAGGATGAAATGTTTAGTAAATGCAAAATATTTTCTCCCAAGACAAATAACAATCCAAAAGATTAAGAAATCCTGCCTTCTATATTATTACTAGGACACTTCCTGGTTTGTGGACTCGGAGGTTCTTCCGTAAAAATGAATGTCATTAACTCAAAGAAAACGACAATAAACTCAATGAGGTTGTAGAAGCTAAATTAGTTGTAAAATATATGACACATTGTCCTGTTATCTTTCCATTGTTTCAAAGACTGGGAGCTGATTGGCAAATATTATGAAGCAACTTATACTGTATATTTATTTACTTGTATTCAAGCTAATTAGTTAATGATTCCACTATCTCTGCCTAGTTTTGTCTAGACACAAAGCTTGGCTTGTTTTCTCAAGATAATGGGGCAATAATGGTGTAACCAGAGATTTTGTTAGTTCCACCAGTCAGTATTGTTGTCTGGACAATTGGAGATGATCCACAGATCTTCCTGTATGGGATCTTTTTAGCTTAAACCTGTTGCCAGTGTGACTTTCATGAATTTTGATGAAGTGCCTGTTTGACTTTGTGTATTTGAAATTAATTCTTGATCTAAGAAAAAAACCTTTATCAACATGTAAACTTGACCAAATGTCAAGAACTCGTCAGAAGACAAGAACAGTGTTCTTCAAGTAACTAGATAGTTTCCTCACAGCTCAAGTAAACTGAACTTCAGATTCTAATCTTAAACCGTGTATTAATACTGGTCAATTTCATTGTACTTGTTTGTTTTTATGTGTAGTTGTTAATTTATTTTTATGGATTTCCGTTTCTTCTAAACCTCTTTATGTGAAGCACTTTGGTCAACGCTGTTGTTTTTTAAATTAAGGAATGTACAAGTGTTAACAAAGGTTCCTACTGTATATACACCTAGACATATTCATACTTAGTTTAGCGAATTTCTTATATCTTAGAACTTATTGCTGTTTTTCTTTACAATTTATACTTGCGTTGGATGTAACTGGGACCATGTGTACACAGTTTTGTTCCAACACATGTACCACACATGATGAGAATGACAATAAAGAAACCTTGACATAAAAGATACATGTATACATGCATGTACATATACAAATGTATATGTACCTATGTTTATACATATACATAAATACACAGTGTCCTTGCATGAGTGAATTCCCATATAGGGTCTACCTGTTTACTGAGGTATGTGTGTGTTTGTTATTGTGGTCACCTCATCAGTGACACGAGTTCAAATGTGCTATTTAAATAAAATTGACACTGGCTCTCATACAGGATCCTGGAATTTGAAGCTGGAAAGGAACCAGCATCCCAGTAACATGGTCCTAGTGTTGGTTTTAAGTCCTGTCCCCTCTATGTAAATGAACAGGACTTTGTTGTAAAATAAAACTTTTCTTTTAGGTGTTGACGCTTGTTGAGTCATGCAATTCTTACATTACTTCACTTTTCTAATATCTTATTTCATGTTTACAGAGAAAGGCCAGGGGGGGACACCATGAAAGTGTGCAGGAGGAGTAGGCGGGACTTAAAGCCCCACATCGCTAGTGCTCAGACTCTGGTTACAACAATGCAGCTCCTAAGAGTTGAGTCCTGCTGGCTTCAAGACAGGAACATTTGGTCTAGTATTTTATTGTATGTCGATGATCCCAATGAGCCAAATAAGCACCTCCCATTGAAATGAAACACGAATGAGCACAATGGAGGAAAACGATTCATTTGCAAAATCATTCCATATTTTTTAAAATATTCTCTTTGTAAACTTTTGTTTATTTCCACTCAAATTATATCAAATTACAGGTGTCAGAAAAGGTAACAGACAGTAACATAGTTCGTTTTCAGGAAAAGTGTGTTGATAAAAGTGTTTACTCATGTGACCCATGTCTCCTAGGTAAAGACTGTCCAGCAGTCTCTTCAACTCCCCAACTTGTTCTTAGTCCTGTAGATGGTTTTGCAGTTTGCTGGCAAAATCTAAAAGTCAAAGCTGAATTCTTTGCCGTATTGCTGGTCTTGTGTATCCCCCAGGTGGGTTGTCCTCCTGGGTTATGGCGTTGAGGTGATGGCCCACCCTCCTCTCCGCAGCCTTCAGTTTTTCCTGCAGCTCCCGCGCCTCCTGCTCTGCCTTGCGTGTAGCCTTACGAGCATTTCTCAAGGACCGCTTCACCTTGCGAACACGCTCCTTCAGTTGGCGGTTCCTCCTCTCGGCCGCAGCCAGGCGTTCCTGCAGCTTCCGGCCACTCTCCTCCTCCTCAAACAACGCCGCTTGTACCGAGGAACACAGCAACTGGGGGACAGCAAGAAAAGAACATCTTTAGGCGACACATAGTTTTGTTTTTCTAACAGACAAACCAATCAAACCATTGTAGACTACCAGCTGTCACCCCACAGGATGGTTCTGTACAGATGTCTGTATGACAAACACAGTCTTCTCATCTCTCTCTAGCAATGAGAAGGTCACATATTTTAATATCACAGAGGGCCGTGGGAATACTTTTCACCCGATTCATAAGCTGACAGGGTTAACAGCTCTCGTAGCCAAACAATGTTTTGGTTCAACGATTGTTTAAATGAACTTTGTCATTAACAAACAAACAAACAAAGTTCTTTATCGTTCCACCACATGTGGTACATGTGGTGGAAAATAGTTGTCTACACAGGGTCCCATCCCAGTTGCATCCAACAAAAGTATAAAATGTAAAAGAAAAACAGTAATAAGATCTAAGATATGAACTAGGAAAAATGTTAATAAAAATACACTAAGCACTAGTAGCATAAAAACAATACACTGAACAGAAACACAAACATGAGTCTGTGAGCAGATGAGCACGAATGAACACATCAGCATGAAACAGATCAGCAGCAGCATGATGTGATTTTTTACAGTGATTATTCTGTTTAGAGAATCATGAGTCTAACAGCCTCAGGGTAGAAGCTGTTCCTCAGTCTAGTGGTTCTACAGTTAATGTTCCTTAACTACCTTCCTACCAGGTTACAACCTTTTGTGTAGTAACAAGTTAAAATTAGTTTAGCACTTTTCTTAATTTCAGTTTTATTGCTAACGGTAAAAGCTAGCTATTTTTAACCTTCATTTAATCAGGACAGTGTGCAATTATAACAAAATGTAAAAATATCTAATGCATTGCACAAAATTTCGCTTTGGGCTAATTTAATCTGTAGTCTAGACAAAAATCAAAACAACCACCAATAAATAATAAAACAGCAAACATCCAGGATTACTTTTTTGGCATAGAGACTGAAAAGCAGGGGTCCTAGCATAGATCCTTGGGGTACACTCTTGAGTCCTTTAGGAAAGCGGAACGCACATCTTTTATTTTAACACACTGCATTCCGTTGAACAAAAATGATGCCATCCAATCAAGTGTTTTGGATGGGCAACAGTTGTTGGATAGTTTGAAGACGGGAATGTTGTAATAATTGTATGAAAGACTTTATGAAAGACTAAGAAACGGTACAGACGACTCCACCATTATCCAGCTGCAATCATATCTGCTCTGTGAGGTATAGTATTGCTGTTTCTGTTGTGTAGTGCTTCCTGAAGCCAAACTGTACCGGACTTGGGCCCACGTTCAGGCTGTGTGGATGGGTTGCCAGTTGTTCTATGATCACTTTTAAAAACTCAGTGGCTAACATTAACACCAGAGAACAGCACTAAACTTTTATCAAAAGAAATATATATGCCACCAGTATAATAAAAATGTTTGCTGTATGGTGTGGTAAGATGTATTTAGGTAAAAGGCATAAATCTTAAGTGTAAAATCAGCTCACATTGTAAAGGCACCATGTTTTTTTTAACTTAGCAGCTAGCTGAACGGGAGGAGCACTTTGGAGCAAAGGAATCAGATGGAAATCAAAATTTAAGCTAAAAGGAAAATATTAGACTTACAATAATCAGTGTTTGTCTAAAAGTCTAATTTAATACATTTGAAATTGTATGAACAAGCTAAATTGTGGCTTCTTTTTTTACGTGTGAATACTGCCGCACACAAACCCCATAAGCATGACTGTGACTACTACTGATGCCAAAGAGAAGCCAGGGTTTTAGTTTTTCCTGTTGATTTTTCTTTAGTTTTTGTGTTCATGGAGAGGGAGGTTTGAAAAAAAAAAAGAATGAGATAAAAAGAACAAAGCAGAGATAGGGAGCGGGGAAAGCCAAACAAAGAAATCAGGACCCATAGGGAGGTATTTCTCCTTCAAACCTGCAATTTCACATACAAATACACAGTTTTACTGTGTTCTTATCAAGCGTCAGGCTTACAGTACTTAATAAAAGAAGCAAACTTTGTCAACTCTGACTATCCACATAAAATGTTCACGAGAGTCAGACGAGGTTTAAAAGTATCGCAACAACACGTACATGTAAATTAAAGTATTGGATATTTACTTCTTGCTGACCTACTTTTAGTGATCGCATGAAGATAAAAACGTGGAATATTCTGCTGGATGGATTAAATCTTGTGAGCTGACCTGGCTCACAGAACGAGTTGATCTGACTGCTGCTGATAAGACGAGGCTTTGAGCTGAAGTTAATTGAAGGTTGGGCAGAGAAGTGGAGCTGAGAGGAAGTCTCGTCCAGAGCGTCTGTTTCCCACGAAGCTGAAACCAGACGCAAACCCCTTTCTCATCTTTCGGGGTGGTTGGTGTTTAATTATAGCTGGTGGATATGCTCCAACATCAAAGCACAGAGGAAGTGATTCAACCAGGAAAACAATGATAGGGAAGTAAGGGCTTGATTTATTATTATTTTTTACTTGTAATAAGAACAGAATGAGAAACAGGTGGCTCCTTTCATCTTCTTGTCCTGCAAAACCCTTCAGAGTAAAACACCTGTTTTGTCCTGTTGTGCCTGAAGGTTGCAGCCTCTGCATGCGCACGCTTGTCCTGTAACTTACCTTTAACCGTTTTCTGACTGACCTCTGATCTCCTACAAAGGAGAAGTCAGCACATCACTGAGCCTTTTGGACACTTACTGATGCAGCCGAAGAATCTTTAAAAAGCTCAACAAACCCCATTTAAACCATCTGAACTGATTGAAACAACTAAGATCCAAAGAACTTTAAAGTTAGCATTTCTTTAACCAAAATCTCACTTAAATACATAGTTAGAGGTCCAGGAAGAAATCCCAAGCATCCATCAACATGCTCCAGCTCTTACAAGAGGATTGCAAGCCCTTGTCAGACCGAAGAGGGTATAAAATCCTTCTAGCAAGTTCTGGATTTTCCATCCAGTGGAAAATAGCAAAAATATAGTAAAAACGAGAATTGAAAATACCATCCCTCCGTCCATCAATTTTGTGAACGTGAGAAATTGAATGAAGTACACCAAAGTTCATGCTCATTAATCCAGGTAAAAATCCAACAATGTTCAGTCAGGTCATCTGGATGGGTTTTTTTTTTTTCTGAGACATTTTGGCCTTCATCCAAAGGACTTCTTCATTCTGAGGAGACACCAAATAAACTCATTTCCACAAACCGCAGACTCAATAGGTGAAAAAAACAGTTTGCTGGTGCAAAGATGGCCTCCATGGCCCGCCCTATCCCCCGTCAACTCCTGTGAGGTAATCATGCCAAAGTGGTTCAAAACAGCAAAGTCCAGGCTCAATACTCCAAGTAAAAATCCAACAATGTTCAGGCAGGTCATCTAGACCATGTCTTTTTTTTTATTTTATTTTTTACTGAGACATTTTGTCCTTCCATCCAAAGGACTTCTTCAATCAGTATTGTATTGAAGAAGTCGATCGACTTCTTCAATACAATACTG